GAAGAGTGGAAATTGTTTGTAGAAAAGAGTTTATAGTGAAAAAGGTTGGTGAATGAAAATTGTCTGTGGAATTTGTCTCCCAGAAAATGTAAAATGTTTGTGTGAATGTGGAGATAGAAAATTGTTGCTAATTGTTGATAGTTTTCTGATAAAGACAACAATGTTTCTGTTCTAGACAAAAATTTTAGAATAAACTAAAACTAAAAAGAAAGTTAGCTTGTAAGAGAGAGATTGAAAAATGTTGATGAAAAATGAGGGGTGAAGAGAGTCTTATTTATAGAATTAAAAATTAGGTTAAAAACATCAAAAAGGAAAATATCCAACATAAAAAGCCCAAATTTTATAGATTATATCTAATTTATTTAAAATAAGAAAATCACTTGAAAGCATATGAATGTTGGAAAATATTTGTTACAAATAATTTAAAATAAACTATTTTACACTTTTTAAATAAGCAAAAATAGATTATTTTTTAAAAACATCATAAATAATTCAATATTTTATAAAAACCAAGTTTGAAAATAATTTTGAATGTTTGAAATAGGGCGGACAAATTTGGGATATGACATTACCATTACTATAGCTGGCAAGTGAAAGCGACGTCTTTGTACTACCAACAGTCTTATTCTCAGTCTATATAAAGAGACCTCATCAGCATTTGAAGATTGACAAAAAACACTATACTATCAAGTTTGAATCAAATTGCTGAAATACTGTGAAACATCAAGAGAAAAGAAGAATCAGTATTCATATACCTTTACAAATATTCTTCTAGATAAATATCAAGAACACAAGAGTTGTTGCTCGTTATTATGTTAAGATATTAGGGATTAAACACAAAGAGTTGTTGCTCATTATTTGTGTGTTAATCTTAGAGTTCTCAATAGAAAGAGTTCTTGCTCATTATTTGTATTGGAGACTTTGTTCTTCATAGTTGTGTTAATATGCTTTTTAGAAGCAAACATTGTAAACACAGTTGATTGCAATTCTGTTAAGAATTGGTTATTGCCTCAAGTGACTAGGTTGTTAAGTCTGTGAATTTGTAATTTGTCGAGATTGGTGGATTAAGTCCTTGTTGAAGGCGAAATCACCTGATGAAGGTGGACATGAGTAACCGTGTTAAAGGTGAATCTGGATAAACCAAAGAGTCATTTATAATCATTCCTTAGTTATATTCTTTCTTGTTAATTTGCAAAATATTTTTCAAAGTATAAGCTTATTAGAAAACCCAATTTAAACCCTCATTTCTTGTGTTTTTCTCACCCTTCAGTCATTACCAACTTGAGTTTGGAAAAAAAACCGTTTACCTTGGACATCGAAAATTTCTAAAACCCGGTCATCCTTATCGTAGATTGTGAAAGTTACTTTATTCCCTTGTTATATATATATATATATATATATATATATATATATATATATATATATATATATATATATATATATATATATATATATATATATATATATATATATATATATATATATATATATATATATAATATGAATTGCACAAACAAGGTGTAATAAGGTGGGAAAATTTACTTTTGGTTTTGCGTTTTATCGCAAATGTTGCAAATAACAAGAGTTGCCACTGACTTTTCTTTCATCTAATAAAGGAAAGGGTGAAAAGAATAGGAAAGACCTTTGAGAATTTTTGAGTTCGGGGGGTAGGTTATGAAAAGGGAAGGTGTTAGCAGCCTTTTCATCCGTAGTTATCTGCGGGCTCTTAATCGCTAGCTCACTTTTGAAAAATGCTTCGTGAATGTGTTTGAAAATATTTTGAAAATGCCTAAGTGCGGCAAACTTTGTAATGATTCTCGTATCGGTTGAGAACGAACACAAAGTGTTTATTCTGAAAATATTTCAGAAAATAAGTGTTTTGTGTGAAAAATGCTTTGTTTGTGAACAAGCGACTGCGATCCATCTACCTACTCAAAAGTCTTTCACGTTATTTTTCTCTTCCTTTAGATAGTGTTGTCCTACCATTAGTTAGTAGGAAGCCCTATCATTGGATGTTTGAGGGACAGGCGCGGGTCATCATACAGTCATAAAGGAAACTTGTAGGGCGCTTTAGCAATTTGTCGTAAAGGACTAAGACCGTTTACCGAAGGCAGCATCGAAGGGTCATCGAGAGACTACGATCTTTTTAGTCTAGGGTCTTTGCTAAAGCGTCCTACGTTCGAGGGACATGACTGTTTTATCTGAAGGCAACAAGTGAGTTACCCTATATGTGCGTGTGTGAAAAGTGATTTATTTTCAGTTAATTTGTCTTGATTAGGTTTTCTAGCGTTTTGTTTTAGATCTTGCCATACACGCCTAATTACTATACAGTAATAAGTAAAAGCAGTAAAAAGAAAAGAGTCTACGCTATTACAATGCTTCATGGAAGGGGGATACAAACCACAAAATTGGGGGGGAAAAGAAAGTAGATAAAACCCTAGTTAATCTATTACAATCTTTAGCATTTACAATAACCGGAAAAACTATTGCGAAAGTCAGAAAAATGCGAAGATTATGGAAAGAAACGGAGGAATTGTTTAACGGAAAATAATTGATGATTTATCATAATGATTAATCGATTTTAATTGAGAAAATGGAATTAATTAAAAACTAAAGTAAAAAACCCTAAATTATTTAATTGAAAAAATGTAATGAAAAAAACCTAAAGAAACTAATTTAATTAAAAAAAGTTAAGTTAATTTAATTTATTTAATCAAAGAAAAATCCTAAATCTAAATTAATTTTAATTTTAATTAGGAAAAAAAGGTTAATTATGTTAAAAAAAATAAATTGAAATAAAAATAAAAAGGAAGTGATGGGCCTGTAGAAGAAAATCCGGGGGGTATGAGAAGGAGGAATCATTAGGCCCAAACAAGGAGCCCATGCGTCTGTGATAATCCAGTGTGGCTGGCTCCAAGGGTTTCATGATATGCCTGTGAATCTGGAGCGCTAGATCTGGCTTGGTGGATATCTGATGGTGATGACATGAGGCGCATGATACGCGCTAGGCCTGCTTGCATTGGATCTGCAAAGAGAAAACATTAAAAAATATAATACCAGAGGCAAAGATCGAACTCGTGCCCTGGTACATTAACAACTTTGCAATACACGTTTCTACCGTTGGGGCGACCTTACATCCGTTAACTTGAATCAAATAATAAAAATAAATACGAAGCTTGATTTTAATGGTCGGAGAGGCGCCGGAGCCCTAGCTCCGGTCGTCTTCTCCGGCGACCTGTAAAATGCAAAACCTGTGAATTCAACATGTTAGTGATCAAAAATATCCTAGTACCCCTAAATCGACCCCCCGAGTTCAAATATAAGCTTAGTTTTGGCCAAAAGTTCTTGTATTGTGAGATTCAAACTACACGAAACCAATCGAAGCAACTATGGCATCTCATAGTTTTGACTGCATGTGATCATAATATTGATCCAAACTTGTTCAATCATGTCCTAGAAACTCGTTAGTAGCATCAAATCTATTTAAAACAAGATAAATCAAAGATATAAATTTGCAAAAACATGTAAATCGGTTATGCTATGCTGTATAGTTTCACATGCTTAGAATCATGGAAACAAATCCAAACCTACCCTTCAATGTTCTTGGGAGTGATTGGAGTGAAGATTTGGAATGAGAGGGCTCATAACAAAAGTTTTTGAAACTCAAGGGTTTTGAAAAAAATTGAGAATTTTGGCAAGCTTTTAGAGGCAAGGATTCGTGGTCATTGCATCTGATCTTGTTGTGCTTATATAGAGGAAGGATTAGGGTGAACAAATATGGCATAAGACAATACAATCATGGCCAAGATTAGACAAGAATCAAACATATTTATAAACTTCCATTTTGAGAAATCCTTTCCATATGAGCTCACACGGTTTTGCATGGCTATCATGAGCTGTCTTGGGCCTGAACTGATCCAAAAAACAAGCCCACATTCTTTGGTCGATTGATTTTATATTTTATTTGATTTAATTTGCATTTAAATGAATAAAAATTCAAATAAAAGAAATAAAAATCATAAAAAATATGTGAATGTATTTAGAGGTACTCTAACATATTGTGAACATGTTTAAACATCAAAAGTTAGGCTCATTAGTCTAAAATTTCAAGTTTGCTCACTTTGCACTTCATGCATTTTACCAAAATTTTCCAACCCGCAATAGCCCTAACTCTCTCAATTTTCATCTTTTGAAGTTGATATAGGAATTTTTGGAAATCTAAAGATGTCCTCTTCAATTTATCTTTTGATCATTTTTGCATTTGGAGACTTTATCTTGATGTAAGTTTCCTTGACAAAAAGTGTCTTTTGTTGACTTTTGAAATGACCTATAATGTATTGACTCATATCTCTTAAATGAAGCACTTTTTGGACTTGAGCATACAAATACAAAGCTGTAGAGAATTGAATTTCCTTCAAAATAGGATTTGGTTTGGAAAAAGTTGATTAAGCATGTGAAATTTATGCTTGGTCGAAGTTCAGTTGACTTCTCCTAAGGAAACCCTAATTTGTCAACTTTTGAATTTTAATGATTTGAGGGCTTTCCTTAAGGAATCATGATCAACCATTGATCAAATTATGAATATCACTTCAAAATGTTGATGTTGACAAAATATCTTGAAGTTTGACTGTATGTTGACCATAGTTGACTTTTTACGCAATATAGTTGATTTTCAATCATCTGAGCTATTGACTGAGCAATATTGTGATGCAAGGCTTGAAAATTGACATGAACATTGTTTAAGACCTATAAGAACCATAGAAATCACTTGAGACCTTTTCAACCCAAACTTCCTTGAAAAACACAAAACCCTAGTTGTGGATCCATTTCTTAGGAGGAGAATTTGTCTGGTCAATTCTTGAGCATCCTTGAGCATTTGAGAACCCTAGAAGATTGTCTTAAAGAAAATGGGAGGGAAAATTTTGCAGTACAACACAAGGTATCAAGAAAAACAAACTGTGTTTTCTTCAAATAACCAAAATAATCAGAGCTTAGCTCAAATGGTGGAAATGGCAGTGTCTTTAGCTGTTGACGAACTACTTCTACTGTTAAGGGAAGAAGCCAATTTGTTGAGGGGTATTCACAAGGAGCTTGAAGACATTAAATATGAACTAGAAAGTATTCAAGCATTCCTTAAGGATGCTAATAAAATATCCGCAATAGCTGAAGGAGATAACACTAGTGAAGGAGTCAAAACTTGGGTGAAGCAGGTTAGGCAAGCAAATTTTCGCATTAAAGATATCATTGATGATTATATTATCCAGGTGGGACAAAAGTGTCCTCATTATGGATGTGTAGCTTTGTTCCATAAGCTCAAAAGTATGAGCCCTCATCATCGAATTATGTCTGAGATTCAAGACATTAAGTCATATATTCGTGGGGTGAAGGAAATAAGTGAAAAATATGGCATCCAAAATTCTTTAGAACAAAGATAAAGAAATTCCAAAGAAGGTAGGTATTCCAAATGGCATGACCCTCGAGTGGCGGCTCTTTACATTGAAGAATATAAAGTTGTGTCTTTGTAGCGCCAAGGAAAAGATTGACTGAATGGATGGTTAAGGGAATGAAAGAGCGCATGATAGTTTCTATGGTAGGAATGGAAGGGCAAGGAAAAAACACTCTTGCCAAGAAAGTTTTTGATAGCAAGGATGTCGTCAGACACTTCAATTACCGTGTATAGATCACAGTCTCTCAATGATATAATGTTGAAGAGTTGTTGAGGGGCATGCTGACAAAGTTTTTCAAAGAAAAATGAGCCAATCCTCCTCAGAATATTTCCCTAATGGATCGAGGATCATTGATCGATGGAGTGAGAAACTACTTGCAACAAAAGAGGTACGTTGTCTTGTTTGATGATGTTTGAAGTGTACATTTTTGGGATGATATTGAATTTTTCGTAATTGATAATAAAAATGTAAGTAAGATATTAATAACAACAAGGAATTTGGATGTTGTGGTGTCTTGTAAAAAATCTTCTTTGGTTGAAGTGCTTGAGTTGCAACCTTTAACTCAAGAACAATCTTTGGAGTAGTTCAATAAGAAGGAATTTAAATTTGACTGTGATGGGTGTTTTCCAAAAGAGCTCATTGGTATAGCTAATGAAATTGTTCAAAAATTCAAGGGCTTACCTCTAGCAGTTGTTGCCATTAGTGGTCTTTTGTCTACAAAAGAGAAAACTATATTTGAGTAGCATAGATTTAGAGAAAACTTAAGTTTAGAGCTAAATAAAGATACTCATTTAATAGGGATAAAGGAAATTCTTGGTTTAATCTATGATGAGTTGCCCTATTATCTCAAGTCACGCTTGTTGTATTTTGTAATATATCCAGAAGATTATTTAGTTAGATCAAAGAGAGTGATTTAATAATGGATAGCTGAAGGGTTTGTGAGGAGTAAATGGGGAAGACTTTGGAAGAAGTGGCTGAAGGATATTTAATGGAGTTGATCCATAGAATCTTGGTGCAAGTATCTTCACATAGAGTTGATGGTAAAGTTAAAAGTTGTGGTCTTCATGACCTAATACGTCAGATGATCCTTGAAAAAAATGAGGTTTTAAAATTTTGCAAGCATATTAGTGATGATGGAAAATCAACCCTAGATGGAATAACTCGACGCTTATAAGTAACAACCGAACTACCAACCACCAATTTTTATGATTTAGTTCCGAATACTGAGAGGTCGGAACAACCACATCATAAAAAAACCTGGCTGGACGGGTCGACCTGCTCTGATACCACTAATGTAACACCCTTCTAAACCCCAAGAAATATTTGCAGAATAATTCAATAGTAAAATCAGAGTAATGCACCAAAAAGGGTGTCACATTTGCTTCAAACAAACTTCATAATAAAATACATTCTGCTCCGTAACACGGGTTTTCAAAAATTAATTACGTTAAGTACTCCATAATTAACAACCATAGTTTTTCAACTTACTCGCAACCTAAATTCATAATTCAAAACATCTTTATTAAAATACTTCTAAATAACTTCATCAAATCAAAACAACTCAATACCCACAAGGGTAGTTCAAATCTCAAAATTAAACATTTCCAAGCAGCTAGGGTGAGTAAATCATAATCATTATAAAATACATAAGGAGTAAATATAGTAGTTATAATACAACACCAAAGAAATACACCATCGAAAACGTCATGTCATATTCACCCCTTCAAGAATCATAATATGCATCAGACACATGGTAATACCATCAATTAGAAATTATCACAAACGCATATTCACAAAACATCACTCAATCAAATCATCATGCAAAGCCACATATAATGCAATGCAACTTCTTTAGATTCATGCGTGTTGTACAAAAACTTCACTGATGATACCATCATCGTTTTCTCCAAAGATTCTCACCAATAGGATCGATTATCGCTTGGAACCGGAGCACATCATAATTTGCACTCAATCCACATTATGGAATTGAGGCCATCATTGAACTATTCGTCCTACCAAACTCACTAGAACAACATCTTGCAATCATCATTGGGATATGTCCTAACATATGCCTTGAATGGATGATGCAAACCATCTTAATAACCAAATGATCACTGCTATTCAAAATGCACCATCATTCATATAATCATCATAAATATCAATACATACTTTATAACACGAAATAACATCAATATAACATCAAAAATTCATTTTATACACATACATCATACTAGAACAATCACCAAATCGTCTTATTCATTAAAGCATAGGTACTGGAAAAAAACATCATATGACTCTTTTTATTTCACAAAGTATAGTTCGTCGTGTTAGCTTCCTAACGCTTCAAACAACACGTCAATCATAGTCTTGAAACTCAAGTTATGACACTTTTAAAATACTACTGTTGTCCATTTCCCTGTGCTCGCCAGACGACGTGGGAGCGACAACTCACTTTTTCCTTTCTGGTCTCCATCGCCCGACACTTCATCTCATTTTCCCGATGCTCACTCCTCGCTTTTGTGTTTCCTAGTGACGCTCCAGCGACAAACCACTCTCCATACAAAATCCAGGGGCTATGTTTTTCACCCCATCACATTGGTGCTTCACCGCCCGGTGCTGCTGGAGCGATGTTCCATGGCCCGGCGACACAAAACTACCGCTCGGTGCTGCAGCACAAACAAGACTTCCCTGTTGCGATTTATGCAGTGCATAATCCCAGTTTCTACACGATTTCTCCATAGTACATGTCTCAATTCATCATGGGTTCACTTAGTGTCATCACATAACAACAACACAGATTATCATACATCATATGCATCAATTCTTTACAAGAAAACATCATAATTTCACCAATTTCCATCAAGACATCATGTTAACATCATTATCCCCAAAACCCCAACACACCTAAAATTATATAAACCTTAGATCAATTATAATAACAACGATAAACCCCCTTACTTTAGATTTCCAACAGTTGCTACTTCTTCTTCGCGCTCTAACGGGTTCTCGTCCTCTTCCTATGTGCCCTAGCCTCTTCTCTCTTCTTCTCTTCCAAAAGTAATCATACAGAATGAATCACTCAAACCTAAATATTTTCTATTTTTCAATCTTACCCCTTGGACCCCTAATATGGTTTTCCCATCTTACCCTCACTTATCCCTTCACAACTTACCACTTTTCCCTCATAGCTTCTACCTCTTATTATTATTCTATTTTAACTAATTAAAATAATTCCAACTAATTATTCTAATTATCTAAATTATTCTAAAATACTCTATACCTTCTTAATTTCTACCACTCTATCATACACCACACAAAATATCATATCAAACATCATGATCATTCATACATCACATAAACATCATAATTAAGTCATAAATACTAAACATAAATTAATCAAATAATTAAATAAATAATCTAATTATGTTAGGGTGTTACACTACCCATGAGTTGACGATATAATAAGGGATCAAGAAAGAGATCACCATCATCACAATGATATTTAACATTAACCTCAAGAGAAGTATCCATTGGATTAGTCGATTGGAGACCAGCCATAGAAATTAAATCTGTGGCATATTTGTGTTGATGGAGAAAGATGCCCTTGGATGTAGAATGAACCTCCAAACTAAGGAAATAATTCAAATTACCAAGATCTTTCATATGAAACGATGCTTGTAACAACTATTTAAGGCTTTGAATGAAAGCATGATCAGAACCAGTAATAATCATATCATCAACATACAGAAGAAGTAGGACAATTCCAGTAGATTTTCTATGAATAAATAGTGAAGAATCGTAATGACTCTGAGTAAAAGAGAACCCAAGTAGAGTGGAGCAGAATTTGTCATACCATGCTCTAGGCGCTTATTTCAAATTGTATAAGAAGCATTTGAGCTTGCACACACTTTTAGATGACGAGATTAAACCTTGAAGAGGAGTCATATAAATATCTTCCGTCAGGTCACCGTGAAGAAAAGCATTTTTCACATCCATTTGATGAAGATACCATCTGTTTGATGCTGCTATAGAGAGTACCGTATGAACAAATGTTATTTTGGCAACTGGTGCAAATGTCTCATCATTATCAATTCCATATTCCTGCTTATTTCCTAAGGTAACCAATCGAGCCTCGAAACGGTTAAGAGACCCATAAGAATTTAGTTTCATAGAATACACCCATTTGCAGCCTATGGGTTTGATATCAGGGGGGCAAGAGACAATATCCCATGTAAAATTCTCTTGAAGAGCCTGAAGTTCCTCATTCAATGCTTTTATCCAGCATACATCTTTAATAGCCTGTGCATAACAAGTAGGAATAAATATGCTAGACAATGAGGCAGTCAGATTAGTATGTGAGGAATCAAACATGTCTGGTGAATATCTATCTGATGCTTTAGATATTTGAACAGACCGTCGTGGTTTTACCGGTCCAGGATCAGGTGATAAATCAGTGTTGGGAGGGGCAGTGTAAACCTGTTTTCTGCATTGTCTGACATATGTGATTCCTGGTTTGTAACATTCTATAGATCGAGGCATAAAGGAAAAATTAGGAAGAATAGAAATATCATTAGTTGAAGGATGAAGAGAATGAAACATATATTGATTATAAAAAAATGTAACATTCCTAGAAACTCGAAAACGGTGATTAGAGACATCATAACACACAAAACTCTTATGAGATTTGCTATACCCCATAAATGCACATTGAACAGACTATGCTCCAAGTTTATTTCATTTAAACAGAGGTAAGTGAACAAAACACACACAACCAAAAGTATGTAAATCACTATAATCAGGCTGAGTTTTAAAAAGACGAAAGAAGGGAGAACCAAAATCAATGTTTTTAAACATAAATGTCTAACTCTGAATGAAAAGAGAACAATCTTGACACGAGAAAAGATAAAAGAAGACATGTTTTGCCTAAATTCTATGAATCATCAACAAGAGTAAGCATATTGTCAATGTTTTTAAACATAAATTTCTAA